TCATGTGCTGTTATACAAGCAAAGGATCATAATCAATCCCGTAAGTGATATGGTCAGCACTTTGTCTTTCTTTGATTGGCCCCGTGCCAGAAAGGAAAGATAAGAAAGTTGGCAGTCACTGACCAAATCCTGACTGTTCCACTGTTTGTGCAGAGCTGTGATTCAGCTTTCTGAACTAGTTGTGGTTCAGTTCCCTTGTCATATACAGTCAGACCATTATCCATTTCTGGATTCAGTCTCTCAGGCCCCTCTTTGGGTCATTCTCTTACTTTTGAGAAGTTAGCAAACTGAAGGAATGCTAGATATCCAGATCTTTACGTCTGTGGGATCCAGTTGTCTCCATAACCAAGTGTATTGAGAGATCATCTCAACTGTTTGCTGGTAAGAGAGTGACTGAGTAGATGCACTTAAAACACTAAAGAGAAACATCTTAACCATTATGCCAAAAACAAGAACAATTAACATTATCTTTAAGATGCTTCAACACCAGGAACCCCAACTTTCCGACCCAGGACAAAGGGAACAAAGGCCCTGAGGGTCAATCTTAGAAAGCCAAGCAGCTTTATCCCTTCAAATGATGCATAGTTAGTCTATTTTTCTTAACTGCTTTATTGCTCCAAGTTCAACAAGAGATATTAACAGTAATGCAAATGCCCCCATGGCTAACCAACAGAGAATCTAGAGCTATGCTATTGTCTATCTCTACTTGTGACAAAGAGCTGTGACTGATGTGCATTCCATCAAGGGCAGAGGTGGTATTGTTACTAACTTATGCCAGAGTTAATGATATGTTTCTCATAGTAATTTTAATTTGTCTGATTTCCATTATTGGAAACATAGCTTTAATCGTCACATAAGCAATGAGTCAGTGATTTCCCAAGATAGAGTGCCTGAATAATCAAGTGTGACCATTTTCAGACATTGAGTCTTAGTTAAGACTTAACTTTGTAGAATTAAGTTTTCTGCCCCAGACAAGTTTTGGAACACTATTCTTAAAATGGGTGAAGTGCTACTCTGAGGCAACAGGCTCAGGCATCCTTCCCCAAAGGAAATAGTATCTGGTAATGGCACATGGAGATCTAGAAAAAAAAGGAATTGTTCACAAGATTGGAATTTGCATTTCTATTAGTCTCTTCCAGGCAGCAAATATTTGGCTCATTGCCATGTGAAGTTGTTTGAATTCAAATTTAGAATTACCTATCGTCTGATCGAAAGGTAAAACAGAGAACACTAACAAAGTCACAGGTTGATTTGCATAATTTTTTTTTCTTTAGGTGCAAGTAGAGATGCCATCAGCTGTAATTCCCCATGGTTTTATTTCATGAGACCAGAATTGCCCAGAGGTTTTTATCATAGGGGAATAGGGATGGGTGGCTTATTCAGGGGTCAGTAAGATTGAGGGCAGTGGCTCCTGTTTAGAATAATCTAAGAATGACATTAGAATGAGATATTCTAACCTAACATTTATAATAAAGAGGAAAGAAAAGAAAAAAAGATCATTATGTGTGGATGACAACCAGGGGTCTGAAGAAAATGAGAAGAATAGTTATAAACAAGCAGATATAAAACCATAACAGGAATTAAATAGGGGTCTTGGCACAACATTTTGGATGGGAGCTGCCATTATCTGAGGTCATCAGCTTGTTCCAAAGGTCTTGGTTCAGTGTCCACTTTAAAAGATCTACTGCTTCTAGTGGCTCTCTTAGAATCCTCACTTTGAGTACCCCTATTGGAATAGCTTGCTTATTGTGTGTGAATTCTGGACTGTTTCTTTAGTTGCTACTCTATTTGTTGCTAACAGTTAGATTGTTGCTAAAAGGTGAGATTCCTTTTGATGAGGTTTAAGAGCAGTTTTCTTTGTTGTCTCTTCAACAGACAAACCCCCTGGTTGAAGATAAATAAGCTATTTAAGAAGACAGGGAAGGTGGTCTTCATGTGTTGGTGATAGGACTCACACAGTGCATGAATCTTTTGCACAATTTGCTGTATCTTCTTGCAGCAAAGCAGAGTCTAGTACTGGACGTGAAAGCCCTATGCATGGACCATTTGGCTAGTGGCAATATTTTTGGCTGACGGAGCTCAAAGATTTATAAATATTTTGGCTATTTTAGTTTAAGAATGCCATTGGTTCTTTCAACTTCTCTGGAAGATTGTGAGTTCTGGAAGATTTGAGTAAGGGGCAAAGCCTTACAAAGTTGACAGTTTTGCATTGGCATGAGTGCCTGAAAATGAGGGGGATAGCTTTTTCAACCAGGTCAAGGATAAAGCTATAATAAACAATGGGTTTTTAATGACTCCCATAAAGGTGCGTTAAAACTCCTAGGGTTTTTCTAGATCACTCATGCCACTGTTATGTTGGCATCTTCTTTAAGTCCCAAATATTGTTGACAGGTATGATCTAGATTATCTACAAAATCCCCTATAGTTTTGTCTTTTCACTGTTTTCATGTTTGAATTATAGGTCAATCAATTTTTATAGGAAATGTTCCAGGTATGGCTATTAGGAGACTTTGCCTTATTTTGGGGCCATTTTTTTTTTTTGAGAGGACATCTCTCATATTTATTGATCAAATGGTTGTTAACAACAATAAAATTCTGTATAGGGGAGTTAACGCTCAATGCACAATCATTAATCCATCTCAAGCCTAATTTTCATCAGTCTCCAATCTTCTGAAGCATAACGAACAAGTTCTTACATGGTGAACAAATTCTTACATAGTGAATAAGTTCTTACATGGTGAACAGTACAAGGGCAGTCATCACAGAAACTTTCGGTTTTGATCATGCATTATGAACTATAAACAATCAGGTCAAATATGAATATTCATTTGATTTTTGTACTTGATTTATATGTTGATCCCACATTTCTCCTATTATTATTATTATTTTTATTTTTAATAAAATGCTGAAGTGGTAGGTAGATGCAAGATAAAGGTAGAAAACATAGTTTAGTGTTGTAAGAGAGCAATTGTAGATGATCAGGTGTGTGCCTGTAGACTATGTGTTAATCCAAGCTAGACAAGGGCATTACAACATCCACGGACGCAGAAGATTTCTCTCAAAACAGGGGGGGTGAGGTTCTAAGCCTCACCACTGTTGATCTTTTGGGGCCATTTTTGACTCTGACATTTACTGTGGAAAGAGGAATCCTCTAGAACCCTTCCAGTCAGCTTTTGCCAGCCAGGATTTGGTATCTGAGGTTCTGACCAACCTGTGTACAAGTTGATACAGCGCAGGTAACCTGGGGTTATGTGCACCCAGGTCATATACATAATAATTCTAAACTTTTCTAAGAATAGTTGCTGGTATTGTCTGGGTTTAGAGAAATCCCTAATTATAGTTCTTAATTCAGCTCAGGTCCAAGGTTTAAATTTTATAGTTGCTGGCATTCTGGCTCATGGGCAGGAGTGATCTTTAGAGGTAACTAGTATTTTCAGGTCTTATAGTTGTTGGGAGGAGGTGGAGTTCTGGACAAAGGGAAGAGAAGGGTGATGTCTCCATGGTGCAGGAGAGAGATCACAAGGAAAAGGGAGAGCTGGAAGTAGAGACAACTGAGAACAAGGAGGACAGAGACTTATTAGGGAAATCAGTTTGTTAATGTGTAAGTTTGCCAGATTGTTCATTAGCTTTGACCAAATAATTTTTTAGTGAAGTAGTTATCAAATTAGAATTTTGTTTGGAGGTGTCTGCATGCCAATTAAAAAAATATTGCCCTCTGGACCCGAGAAAGCTTATTGCCTTTCTTTACTAAGGTACCTCTCTAATGAACAGTATTGCTCACATCAAATGTTTCCTCAG